ATTTTATCTCTGAAGCAGACGACTTCTCAAAAATTGTAGACCAATGTGTTATATTAGCACCTTACATATTACAATGAACTGAATAGGTTGCATACTTTTTTTTAAATGTAGTACGCTTCACGCACAGTCTCTCAAAATACTCTGGTTAGAAATAAATGACATTTTCCTGAGATGGATGACTAATAATGCACAAAGATTGAATCCAAAGGAAAAAGAAAAGAAAGTTGACTATATTAAAGATGAAATTAAGTATCCTTGCAGACAAGTTATAGGCGGGGGCAAACTGTGGCCCACGGGCCACATCCGGCCCACAGGACCCTTCCCTCTGGCCCCCAAGCTCCTGCCAGGGAGCAGGGTCAGGACAGGCTTGCGGAGGAGCCAGCCCAACTCCCTGGCAGTGTGGTGAGTGGAGCGGAGGCTAGCCCTTGGCCCCTCCCCTTCTGCTCCCCTCCCTCCCTGGCAGTCACTGGTCCCCCAGCGCCTGGGGCAGTGTGGCTGCAGCTCCGCCCATGCGGCACGGCTATAGCGCCGCCAGACGTGGCACAGTCAGGGGGGAAGGAGGCAGAGGGAGTTCCGAGGAGGTGTGGGGGAGGGAGGAAAGGGGGTGTTGCAGGGGGGGTGGTCAAGGGGCCTGGGCCCTTCTGCTGGGGATAGGGGTAGAGGGCCTCCCTCCACCCCCAGCATGCTTGACCCCTGTCCCCAGCAGCCAAGCCCAGACAGGGAGCGACCCTGCCCAACTGCCAGGGAGAGCAGCTAAACGAGCACGGGAAACGCACAGGGAAAGGAGTGAGCCCCCCCCCCTTTCCCCCACCCCACAGGTAACATGGGGCGGGGAGAGCAGGGAGGGTTGGATAGGGGGCAGGGGGTGGGGAGCAGGGGAGATTGGATGGGGTGGGAGTCCCGGGGGTGGGGAGCACGGGGGATTGGCTAGGGGATGGGCGTCCCAGGGGGATGGTCAGGGGGCAGAGAACAGAGGTGTTTGGATAGGATGCAGGAGTCCCGGGGGGAATTCAGGGGTGGGGAGCATGGGGGGGTTGGATGGGGGTGTGGGTTCTGGGGGGCTGGATAGGGGGCAGGGGCCAGGCCACGCCTCGCTGTTTGGGGAGGCATAGCCTCCCCCAGCCTTCCCTACCCGGTCCTCCATACAATTTCTGCACCCGATGTGGCCCTAGGGCCAAAAAGTTTGCCCACTCCTGTTCTATGTTATATATAAAAGCTATAATTAACTGCTAAAAATTTAATCAAAAAAAAAAATCAAGAAATATTGAAAGTGCCATTTCTGCAGTAGAAGAAAAAATCACAGTAATTCAATAGTTTGTTAAAAGGTATATTAATCCTTCCGCTGCAGAAATGCCATCTTACAAACCTTGAATGTCAACTTTGATTTAAAGTGGCAATTTGTTTCTGAGACTCAGTAAAAAAGAAAAACCCTTCATTAAGGGTATTCTAACAAAAATAAACTTTTTATTATTGTTTTATCACCATCCTAAGTTAGAGATAAATTGAAACTTAAAAAAAAATAATCATCTAACTAGCCCACCTAAGTTGACAACACATGACTGCTTTTTTGGCATGGCCTTAAAGAGACCTCATCTTGCAAATCAGCCTATAAATACACCTCTCCAAAATTAAAAAGGATATGACAGTGTGCTATCCAGTCCATCGTGGTGCTATAAACAGAACATTTCTTTTCTTTCTGAGTCAATGCACTT